TGAAGTCAGTTTCCATGTCTGAAATGGCAAAGGTGAGGGGCTATGCCAGGTGCCAAGTGACATGATGGAATTAGGAAGGTGCTGCCTCAGAGCCCCTCACTCTGACCCCTGGGTAGGGGCCATACAAGGTTCTGGCCACCTGGGCTGCTGTGAGTCCAGCAGGCTGTGACAGAAACCCTGGCACCAGTGACATGCTGGGCCACCCTGCCTACCCCTGAAGCCCCACCTGATCCCCAAGTCTAGCAGGAAGGGCTTTGTGCATCTGGGGTCAGGCCCGTGGCCAGCCAGAGGGAATGCAGGCCTGTTCCCATGCAGTTGGGCAGGGAGGGAAGGGGTCAGCTGGGGTTCCTGGGGAGTGAACAGCCGCAGGAGCAGAGCCCGAGTGTCCGCCCTGTGACACCGCCCCTGGCGGAACTGCAGGATGACACTCCACTTGCAGAGCTGAGGTTTCCTCTTCTGTAGACTGCGCTGAGACTTGTGGGTTTGGTGCTGTCAACGGTGTGTGCCTGGGAAGGGATGACCTTGGCCAGCTGTTCTCTCTACTCAGGTGCAGGGCTGCCTCTTGCCCACAGCTGGCCTTGGTCCAGAGGAGGCGAGACCGGAGCCCCTCCTGGACCCACCCAACGGGACTCGCTGGAGGGCAGGGGAGGCCCGGGCAGAGGCCCCTGGTGTCCTGACCCCGCGAATGCTCCTGCTGTTGGGACCCAGGGACTGTTTCTGGCCACGCTGTAGGCAGGAATGTGGCCCCCTGGGCTGCTGTGAGTCATGAGGCCACCTCTGAGCACACCTGGGCCTCGTCTCCCTGTTCAAGTGCTTTGCAGGTGGCGGTGGTGGCAGCGCCCCGGCCTGGCCTTCCTCATCTTCTCTGCAGAGAGACCAGCTCTTGGCCTGTGTGACTGGTGGCCATCTCTCTGCCATGGAGTACCATCGCCAAAGGGCCAGTCTGGTGGCCAGCATGTGTCCATGGCCCACTTGGGTTCACTTGGCTGTGGTCAGAGTCCTGCAGACCAGGGGCTTGGGAGTTCTCAAAGACGTCTGTCCATGTGGGACGAGCAGTGGTCCTGGAAGAGCCAGCCTTGGACAAAGCCATCTGCCCGAGCGTGGCCTTCCCTGCTGCCCACCCCTGCCCACCTTCCAGCCCTCCTCGTCCTCCTCAGGACAGCCCCCTGGGGTCCCCTAGTGTGAGGGGTCACTCTCTCACTTGGCTCCCCCCCCTCCGCAGGAGGAGACGGCGTCTGGCACCAGGCCGTCCAGCCCTGGCGCTGCCCCAGGTGTCAGCACGAGTCACAGCTGCGTGTCCTCCCCCCTTTCCTTCCAGAAGCCCCCCAGCACCCACGCCATGAAGGAGGAGGCCTTTCTCCGGCGCCGCTTCTCACTGTGTCCGCCGGCCTCCACCCCGCACAAGACGGACCCCCGGAAGCTCACGCGGACCCTGCTCCTGGGATTCGAGAATGAGCTCAGCCCAGTTAGCCCAGGTAGGTGCCAGCCGTGGGCGCATGTGGCAGAGGCCCCATGTCCTCGCAGCTGTCGAGGGCAGCAGCCCGCTCTGCTCACACCCCACTGGGGACAAAGGGTTTGTAGTGCATTAAGCTGGCCGGCCAGGGGGCTTCCTGGTGTGACCTCTGGGGGCAGGCAAAGCCCTTTGGGCCTGGAGACAGAGAGGGCCCCCAGAGGCCTTCTGGGGCCAGGGACATCAGCTTCAGGGACAGGCAGCCTGGGTCCTCCCTGCTGTCCTGGCTGGCTGACCCCAGGCCAGCTACTGGGTCTCTCGAGCTCAGTCTGCTCATCTGTACAATGGGGACAACATTGGTGCCCATGCCCAGCCACCAGGGCCCTGTGTGCTGGCCAGGGGACAACTCAGTTCTGCTGGGCTGCCGTGCAGCTTGTGGGTGAAGCCCTGCGCACCAGGGAGCGGGCACCCTGCTGCTTCCAGCCCCACGGCCCAGCCTCCTGCTGCCCCACTCGGCCCCACCCAGTGGGGTTCAGCTGAGTCCTGCTGCCCCATTGTGACTGCTGAGCCCAGAGAGCCCAGCCCTTCCCTCTGGAGCCCTGGGGGCCAGAAGCTGACTGTGCCTGCCCTGGAAGGACTCTCCAGATGGACCCCACCTCCACCTTCTGTGGCTGGGCAGGGAGGAGGTGTGGAGCCTTGGGGCTGGGGACTGCTCGTCCCCTCTCAGCTGACGGATGGGGACGGGGAAGCCAAGGCCCAGAGCAGGGAGGCCTTGAGGAAGCCCCGGGGAGGCCAGGGAGCTGGATGCCAGCACTGACCGCAGCCATGTCCACTGGCCTGCATGGGGAGGAAGGCTCTGGCTGGCCTTCAGTCTCTGGGGACTTGGTTCTCAGAGTCACTGGCCCAGGCAGGGCAGGGCCCAGGCTGGAGGGGACCCAGGAACAGAGGGGCAACAGGTCCCAGGGGCAGGGCAGGGCAGTGGATGTGGACAGGCTGGGAGGAGGAGCCAGGGCCGGCCTTGGCCTGCTGGGGGCACTCCCCTCTCGGGTGCTCCAAGAGCCCCTGTGTCCTCCCAGCCCAGGACACAGCACCCCACTGCAAGTGGCCCAAGGCAGCAGTCCGGAGCATCTGCTGAGGGGACCCTGAAAGTGAACAGGACCCCTGCTGACCCCGCTTCAGTTGGGGCATGGGTGCAGTGTGGGCGGAAGCTCCAGGGGTGCCATCCTCAGGGACAGGGACATTGACGACCTTGAGTGGGCACTGCACCAGGACCTTGGGGCAGAACCACTTCCTTGGGTCATTGTTTTCTGGAGAGAAGGGCTCCCAGTCCCACCCTGCCCTTCCCAGGGCTTTCCTGGTTCTGGGGTGTCAGTCCTCTCCCCTCCGCTCCCCTCCTCGCTGCCTTTGGCAGGAGGAGCCGCACCCCAGCCCCAAGGCCCACAGCCAGGGGAGTGGGCAGGGCCTTCCGGCTCCGGGCCTCCTCTGCAGCCACCTGCCTTCCTCCTGCCCGTAAATGCGGTCTCAGAAAGAGCGTCAGAGCGGGGAGCCAGGGCTGGGCCACCTCCCAGGGCCAACCCAGACCCAAGGGCCTCCCTCCTCCCCCTCAGCCCAGCTGCGCTGGGACCCAGGACGCTGTCCCACCCACTCCCTCAGTCCAGCACTGGGGCCCATGGCATCCATCAGAGGGACACATGGCCAGCACCCTGGACCCAGCCTGCCTGTGAGCCTGGATACCGTGCTGTCCCTCTGAGGACTGAGGGCCACGTAGACCCGAAGTCACCACCACAGCAGGCCCAGGCCCCCGGGTTCCGCCAGCCCCTCCCCGCTCCCTCCCTGTGGTCCCAGCCAGGTCAGAACCCCGGGTCCTCCCGGGGCCAATGCCTGCTGGATTCCCTGCACCCCTGGAGCACCGTCCTGTAGCCACTGCCTCAGCTGGCTCCCTGCCCCTCCCCGCCGGCCGGGCCCCTGCACCCCTGGGAGCCTCGCCCCCGTTCCCTCCTCACCCTCTGCTTCTTTGCAGGGAAGGACATGGAGCCCAATGGCCTGTCACTGCCAAGAGATGAAGAGCCCCCCACCTCGGGCTCCACCGCCAAGGTGCCACCGGTAAGAGCCCAGCAGTGGGAGGACTCGGGGCAGGGCGCCTGCTCAGGGAGGGCAGGTGCTGGCTGAGCCTGCCAACCCCCGTCCAGGCCAGGGAATGGGACGCAAATCCCAGGCTGCACAGCTCTGTTCACGCCACCTTCCTGTTCACGCCACCTTCCTGGTCACACCACCTTCCTGGTCACGCCACCTTCTTGGTCATGCCTCCTTCTTGTTCACACCACCTTCCTGTTCACGCCACCTTCCTG